TTTTTTCATTATTTATTTTTGGAAATAGATAAAAACATGACATACACATGTATACATGACGTATACACCAAAGAATTCAATGTATTTACGGATTTATTCAATTTTGATACAAAATGAATGGAAAATTGTTATTACATGAATGAAAATGTTGACGTTTTTTGTCGTAATGGAAATCAACCTAATTAAATCTCCAACGGAATTTCGAACCCTTCGACTAGTAGTCTATTAGGTCCAAATGTGAAATCATATGCTGGCGACCGTCAACATTTTGAAATGTAATTTTTAGTCCATTATTTGATGTGACTTCCCCAAGACTGTAAAGGGAAGAAACCGGGTTTCCGGTTTGGTTTGTAAATTCCAAACAAAATTGATACGTATTGCTCGCATTGATGATGATTGGGGTCGGTAGGTTGATATAATTTTGCGCTTTGTAGGAAATGTTCCTTGTCACTTCGAATAGAATTGTTCCGGTTTCGGTAGCAAATGATTGGCCATGTATCTCCACAATGCTGACTTTTGTATTCGATGTGCCTAAGGGGAGAATCAGAAAAGAAGAGAATTAATTTAAAATAATCGAAAAAGAATCAATAAAAATTATTAAATAATAGAAAGGCAATTTTTAAGTACCCGAATGTCCATAATTGTCTCGTATTGAAAAACATATTCTCCCAAGCAACGTAGTTTTATTTGATGTAATGAAGACAATTTCAGGACTTTGAATTAGCGCAATAGTTCCCAATGGGGATTTACACGACCAAACTTTGCTTTCATCCCAGTAAAGTCGCGGATTTTGATTGAATTTCTTCGAAATAAATCCCTTCAATGATATCGAACGCCATATATCGCAAATTTCATCAACTGTTAATATTCCTTCATAATTTTTGGTGGTTTCCAAAAATTCTTCATTTGTCATTGCTCCGAATCGAATTAAATACAAACAGTCGCCCAGTTGGTTTCGCAAATTCGATGCAATATTTTGAACTGTGCGGTTTTTTCGGCAGGCATACTTTGCCCAAGCCAAACAGCGATCGAATATGATTGATTCTTTGCAAAGAAAGTCTATCTTCAGAATTTCACGTAATACTTTTTGACTGCATGCGAGAAATTCATCCGATTTTAGCACTGTAATTGCATTCGAAATGATGAATTCATCGCAGAATTTCTTTAATTCTTTATGCTC